AACCTACAGATACACCAGGCAGTAAGAGGAAATGGTCTCTCCTTTTTCAGACGTGACCTAAAAAGCAGGACAAAACATATGTAAGGAATCCAGGATGAGAAAGTGTTCACAATCTGTCTGAGTGCAGCGTTGGTGGTACAGTGGTGGATGTAGCTGCCTTTCAAAATCTGGTTGGGTTGTCAGGAAACCTCAGATAAATCTTATCAGGATCTCCCTCAACATCTAGTCCCCAGTGCAGAGTTTTGTAAAGCCAGAAAGCCCAAATGGATAGCAATTATCAGGATCAAGACAGAAGGATCCAGGACAGAAAACTGTCAGACTTTACAGAACTTATATAGGCAATGACATAACTTGATTTTGAGGCAAAGAAGGCTTGCTCTTATTCTTACAAGTACTCTTTTCGTCTGGTCAAAATGTGTGCTTATCGGGGCACCTGGGTGGCTCAGTCGGTTAAGTGGCCGACTTCGTCTCAGGTCACGATCTCACGGTTCGTGGGTTCGAGCCCTGCGTCGGGCTCTATGCTGACAGCTCAGAGCCTGGAGCCTGCTTCAGATTCTGTGTCTCCTTCTCTCTCTGCCCCTGCCCCGCTCGTGCTTCGTTTCTCTCTGTCTCAATAATAAATAAAACAAAAAAAAAATTAAAACAAAAACCAAAATGCGTGCTTTTCTAGAAGTGCTTTGAGCAAGTGTTCTAAGATACAAGGTTTAAGATACAGTGTTCTAAGTAGGGCTTAACTGGCTTAGAGAAAAGAAGGATAACAACCGAGGCTGGGCACTAGGCAGCTCCCGACCTTTTTAAAAGGTTTCGGGGGTATCGGCTGGCTCAGTTGGTGGAGCGTGTGACACTTGACCTCGGGGATGTGAGTGTGAATCTATGTTAGGTGCAGAGTTTACTTAAACAAAAATTATAGAAAATACAAAATAGAGTTCAGCATGTATACGTGCTTAGATAAAACCCTCATTTTGGGGGATCATGGTGGACTCATACATGATTTCTTATGGATTAACCTACATGCTTTCCTTTTTTTTTTTTTTTTTAGACAGCATCATGACAATCTTAAAATTAATTATTTTCCATGATGGTTGCTTGTTGTAGCTTTACATGATATGATTCCTCTTGTCCTTCCTATTTTGTTCAAAGCATCAAGGGTTTTTTCCATCCTTTTTGCATAGGGTAAGGAAACAGCACACATAAAATTGGATCTGTATGTTCTTTGGATATTAAGTTTCAGAAATTTTTTAAATCAGTATTTTTTCTTCATATATTTTTTAACAAATCTTCTGCTTTACAAAACTGGACATAAATAATTTTCTTTTTTTAAAAAAACGGTTTTTTTTATTTCTAGGAGAGAGAGAGACAGCGTGAGCAGGGGAGGGTCAGAGTGAGAGGGAGTCACAGACTGAAACAGGATCCAGGCTCCGACCTGGCAGTCAGCACAGAGCCCGACGCGGGGCTCGAACCCACGAACCGCGAGATCATGACCTAAGCGAAAGTCGGACGCTTAACCGACTAAGCCACCCAGGCGCCCCTGGACATAAATAATTTTCTATGAAAACAATGATGTGATGGATAAAAAGGTTTAGGCATGCAGAACTTTTCTGTCTCTTGTACATTTTTGCCATTTCACTCTGACTCCCTAAGTGGCTGAAGAATGCCACAGATTCTTAAGAGATTTGTCTACAATTAAATGAGAATCAGTCTTTGTACACAGCTCTTATGAGAAAACTATATTGATGAATGACTTCTATTTCCAGAAACATTATAGTCATTCAAGAAGCAATACAACTGAGTTTTGTAGTATGAATGCTACAGATTGAAGTTCTGTTTTAAGCTCATCACTAACTTAAAACCATGAACTACTTGATCTCAGGCTAGGGTAGTGCTTTGTTACCCTTCCATTGTATTCTTTGCCTTTAAGAAGGGATGGTACAAAAAAAAGAATGAAATGTTTTCTGTTTTAAAATTTTTAAAAAATTTAATGTTTATTTGTTTCGAGAGAGAGAAAGAGACAGAGTGCCAGCAGGGAGGGGCAGAGAGGAAGACACAGAATCTGAAGCAGGTTCCAGGCTCTGAGCTGTCAGCACAGAGCCTGATATGGGTCTTGACTGAGAGAGCATGACCTGGCCCGAAGTCAGATGCTTCAACCGACTGAGCCACCCAGCTGCCTCTGCTTTGTGTATTTTTTAAAAGCTTTTTAAAAAAAATTGTCTATTTATTTATTTAAGTGGGGGAGAGAGAGACAGCATGAATGGAGGAGGGGCAGAGAGAATCCTAAGCAGGCTCAATATTGTCAGTACAGAGCCCAACGCAGACTTGATCCCATGAACTGTGAGATCATTACCTGGGTTGAAATCAAGAGTCAGACACTTAACCAACTGAGCCACCCAGGTGCCCCTAACATTTTGGGATTTAAATCACTAATTTTCACTGAAGTCAGGGTTGGTCTTAACTCCACCTTGAATGCTCCACATTAGATGGAACTGATCCCAGGTTTGTGGGATAGAGTCCTGTATTGGTCTCTGCACTGAGTGTGGAGCCTGCTTGAGATTTTCTGTCTCTGTCTCTGTCTCTCTCTCTCCTTCTCTCTGTTCCTCTCTCCTGCTCTTGCTCTCTCTCTCTCTCTAAAAATAAAACAGAATAAAAATATTAACCTAGTTGTGTGGTTCCCAAAGTTGGAAGCGTGAAGATGGTCCAATAGAGACACAAGATTTGGAAAGTCTAGAAAATAACCAGTCCCAGAAATCAGAAGTAACTCTGGAACTGACTTTATTTGTTATGGAACAAACTTGAAAATTATGTAGGATCCATCAATCTGTAAGATTCTTGCTGACTTCAGGGGAACTCCCAGGGATATCCATTGTTTAAAAAGAACTGAAAGTAGATTTTGAGGTTCCAGGTAATTTGGTTGCTGTCAGTGCTTAGCATTTCCCTTCATGGTTCAGATTCAGTTTTCTATTACTCATCCTGAAAACAAGGTAATGGAAGAAATCAAGTGTCAAGAAATTGTGGCACCAACATAGAGAGTAAATAGGATTATTTAAAAATCACATGGGAAGATCCTTAACACTGTTTTCCAGAGCGGCTGCACCAGATTGCATTCCCACCAACAGTGTAAGACAGGGTGCCCGTTTCTCCACATCTTTCTCAGCATCTGTTGTTTCCTGAGTTGTTCATTTTAGTCACTCTGACCGGTGTGCAGTGGTATCTCAGTATGGTTTTGATTTGTATTTCCCTGATGATGAGTGACACTGAGCATCTTTTCATGTGTCTGTTGGCCATCTGGATGTCTTCTTTGAAAAGGGGTCTATTCATGTCTTCTGCCCATTTCTTCACTGGATTATTTGTTTTTCAGGTATTGAGTTTGGTAAGTTCTTTATAGATTTTGGATACTAACAGTGTACAGGCTCCTCAAAAAATTAAAAATAGAACTACCCTGTGACCCAGCAATAGCACTAGTGGGAACTTATCCAAAGGATATAGGAGTAATGATTCATAGGGGCACATGTACCCAAAGTTTATAGCAGCACTTTCAACAATAGCCAAATTATGGAAAGAACCTAAATGTCCATTAACTGATGAATGAATAAAGAAGGTGTGGTTTATACATACAACGGAATACTACATAGTAATGAGAAAGAGTGAAATCATGCTATTTGCAACAACGAGGATGGAAATGGAAGGTATTATGCCGAGTGAAATCAGTCAGTCAGAGAAAGACAGATATCATAGGTTTTCACTCATATGCGGATCTTGAGAAACTTAACAGAAGACCATGGGGGAAGGAAAGGGGGAAAAATAGTTACAGAGAGGGAGGGAGGCAAACCATAAGAGACTCTTAAATACAGAGAACAAACTGGGAGTTGATGGGTGGGTGGGGGAGAAGGGAAAGTGGGTGAAGGGCACTGAGGAGGGCACTTGTCGTGATGAGCCCTGGGTGTTGTAGGTAAGTGATGAACCATGGGAATCAACCCCAAAAACCAAGAGCACATGTTACACACTATGTTAGCCAATGTGACAATAAATTATAGTTAATAAAAGAAAAAAAAATCACATGGGAAAAAGCAGCTGTAGGCTTGGGCTCGCCTGTTTCACATTGATCTGCTTTGAGACATTGTGACTTTCTGCCTCTCCTTTCTTGTCCCAGAGCTCGGCGCCTTATCTATAAAGTGAGAGAATGGGTTGTCTGAGGTTTTGTCTAGCTCTAACTTTTACGGCTACAGGACAAACACACTTACCTTTAACATTCATTTATTTCTGCAGTAACTTTTTATTGAGCCCTTAATATAATATGGGCACTATCAAAAACAAGAGAGGAAGAATTTTATCTCCTCACTACCTTGAGAGGTGAGCATTCATTACTTTTGAAAGCTGAGACATCCAACTCTTTCTTAGTTACATATTCTAATTTTAAGCAACCTTATAATCATCTTATTTCTTGTGGATGGACAGGAGTTCAGTTCTTAAATGTTTGCATGGCTCATCAAATGCAATCTTTAAAATTTCCTTAAATGTTCCTTAAATTTCCTTAAATGTTCCTTAAATTTAAAATATATTTTAATGGTCAATACAAGTAATCAATGGGATTTCAGCCTTCTTTATCCTCGGATGCATTTTGTTTGCTCTCTTCTACCACGAAACTAGAAACTCCACAGAGGCAGGAAGCAGGGGGCCATGTTGTGTGTTTCGCTCACCACCTTACCCCCATGTGAGCAATGCCTGATACATAGTGGATGTTTAATAAATAGTTGGTAAATGAATGATTCAATAATACATTTATTCCTACTTAAAAATCTGAATGTATCACATTCTCTCAGAAAACAACTGAATTTATTGTTCAAAGGTTAAGTACCTTTTATATTTTCTTTGGATAAACACCCAAGGCACTGGTGAGAGAAAACTACAGACACACATGGGGAAATGTTCTTGTGTTCTTGTGTTCCCTTCGGATCAGAATAAGATTTCCTGATACAAAAAAAAAAAAAAAAAAAAAAAACCCTTACCTTTTGGCTTCATTAAACACACAGAGGTTCCCATAGGTTTTTCCATCAGAACCACAGACCGGTTTGTAGATCGATTGGCATTTTGTATTTCCATTTGGGTTTTTGCTGCTGATACTGCCAGCCTGCAGCAATGTGAAAGACCGTTCGGTAAATATAGGAAACTCAATTTAATTCTGATATTGTGATAAGACAAAGAGTCATTGCTCATTAGTTATTGGTTAGGCATTGTACCAAACCTATCATTTTGTTAATTCCTTTATTTTAAACTATACAATAATACCAAAAGAATCATAGATACTGCTCCACTGTATAATTGCAGGCACACAGTGTATTTAAGTGACAAGCCCAAGACCAGATATAGATTAAATACCCAAGTTGGGTTTCAAAACCTAAATTATGTGACTCCAGAGCCCTTGCTTGTATTACATGTCACACTGCCTCCACTTTAATTCTTCGTAGACAAGCCTTCTCCTACCCGAGGAAACAACGATTATGGAAAAGTCATCCTGGCAAATACAAAACACATGTGATCATCATTTACTGAAACTTTCTTTTAAGAAAATGAGGCAGGAGGTAGGATTGTGCAGAGTTGAATTAAGTCCTACCTAAAGCACTTCCTTGGAATGAAGTTACAGAATGACAGAAGTCTATGAACACCAAGTTTCGACAGCAAATAAGAACAGAGGCACTAGGTGAAATTGTGAGGATCTTCAGTAGGGGGCTTAGTCCTTTCAGGACCAAGGAAGACGAACAAATAGTTCAGTCTTTTCCATTGGTTGGGACTCCAGTACCATTTTCATACCGCTTGAGAAAGTTTAAGTAACCATGTAAACACTCAGAAACATGGTGGTGGTGGCAGTAAGGTCTGGATGGCAGGAGTGTCCCTGGAAAATTATTACTTCATGCCAGGCTAAGATGTAAAAACCAAGAGGGACAGGCAATTTTCATTTGAAAGGGTGCTGGGGAATGACAAATTATAAGGTAAAAAATGAAGTTCCCATTAAGATAATGAGATTGAGGAAGTGTTCTACAAAACTGTTTAGGGTGTACTGAGTGTCCACGGTCATGGTTACTTGGAATTAGGAGGCTGGCAGTTGGGAGACAGAGAGGCTGGCAAGTGAGATCTTGCCAGTATCATAAGAAGGCTCAGAGGGATTACAGGAGCCATGCATGTGCACCTGTTTACAATGATGTCTCCCATACATCATTTATTCACCGATCTGAAAACAGTTCAAAAGAACCTATTATACGCCTGTCTTGTTCTAGAATCTGGGGATACAGATTTAAAAAGAAATGGTACTTTCTTTAAGGAGTTCATGCTCCAAATCACTTGTAAAGCAATATGGTACATTCTATTATAAAGGATATCATCGGTATTAGAAATACATTTGTGGAAAATCAAAGGATTCTGTAAAACATGGATGTATGACTAAGAGTGACATGAAATGTCCAATCATACCCAATCATGGACATGGGGTTCAATCGTTAAAAAAAGTCCTTAATTCCATGCTCAGGAGTTTGGGTCTTATCTTCTAGACAGTATGGTGCTGCTGAAAAATTTCCAGCAGGGGAGTAAGAGATCGGGTCAGATTTGTGATGTAGGAATACCACTTGAGGGGCTTGTAGATTATGGAAGGGATGGAAATGGGCATGAATGTTAAATCTGGTGAGGGTAGAGACTCGCTTCACAAAGATGTGAACTAGTCCAGTATAGGTAGAAAGGCTGGAGTCAAAGACAGTAGAAAGGAATGAGAAATGGAATGGAAGAGCACAACACTCATTAATGATCATAGGTACAAATGAAAACAACCATCTCTAGATTCCTTCTCATTTTGTTGAATCAGTATCATCACAAAGTGTTTGTCTTTAGTACAGTATATTCTGTTAAGTATTTTAAGTCTTAGAAAATAGAATGGTTGAGGTCAGTTCACCAAGGGGAAAAAAAGAGATTAACACCAACCTGAATCTCCATTATATTGGCATTCAAAGGGTTGCCCACATTTTTTCTTTCTTCTTGATTGTAAAAAGGCCGTGGTTTCCCTTGTTGGCTAGATAATCCTGGTCTTCCTTGCTGGCTAGATGACCCTGGACCCCCTTGCTGGCTGAATGACCCTGGCTTCCTTTGCTGGCTAGATGATTCTGAACCTCCTTGCTGGCTAGATAACCCAGAACTCCCTTGCTGGCTTGAAGGTCCTGGTTTTCCTTGTTCGCCAGAAGCTTCTGCATTCCCTTTTGGATTAGAGTCTCCTGAATTCCCTTGCAGACTTCCAGGCCGATTGAAAACTCCTGGCCTTCCTTGATGATTAAAATCCCCTGGTTTCCCTGGCTGGCTAGAAAGCCCTGGTCGTCCTTGCAGACCAAATATTGCTTGTTTTCCTTGTGTGTTGCCACCTCCTTGCTTATTAAATTCACTTTGTTCTCCTTGATGGTTAGCTTCATTTTTTCTCTCTAGAATAAATGCAGGTTCTGGACCCTCTTCTGGTTTAAAAACACTGGTTTTCAACATCTGGGCTGAAGACACTGAAATAGTACGTAAGCACAAAAATAAAAATAAAGTCATTTAACTTTAAGAATTTTAAATCAACAGCATTCATCCCAAGTTATAGTATGTACTTAGTGCCTCTTTGAGTTGTTTTTAATCAAAACTCAAGACAGAAGCTTCCCATAACTTCTCATAGCCTTAATATTTGGGTTCCTCCACTTTTTTCTTGATTGTATTACAAGATTTCTAAAAATTATGGGGTTGGAGTGCCTGGGTAGCTCAGTGATTAAGCATCTGACTCTTAATTTCAGCTCAGGTCATGATCTGATGGTCTGTGAAATCGAGCCTTAGGTCGGGCTTTGCTGACAACACAGAGCCCACTTGGAATTCTCTCTCTCCCTCTCTCTGGCCCTCCCCTACTCATGCTCTTTTCCTCTCTCAAAATAAATTAAAAAAATAAATAAAAATCATGGGTTCAAACCAGCTGGCCTCATTTTTAAATCAGAGCCTGAATTACTTGAACTAAGCTATTTGAGCTTGATACTACTCCAAATTCCTTGTAATGATTTCCTAATTAATCAAATAGACTCTGAATTATGTTTATTATAAACTTTACATCACAGAACCCCTTCCCATATTCCCAGCGTCACTCCACAGAAGGTGCTATCAGCAATTTTCCAGACATAAAGCTGTCAGTTGTGAGCCCTCATTCCATATTCTTTTTTCATCTCTATATATGCTTTCTGTAGCTATTTTCTTCCCTCTTTGCCCCTGTTCCAAAGGGAACAGTGCACCATTTCCCACAGGGGCCCCAGCATCAATCAATCAGTCATACTCTCTCCAGTGTTTCTTTCTTTCTTTTGTGCTCAAACTACTCAAGGAAATGGTAGATACTATATGACTATTTCTTAATACCTACTTTTCATAACTCATCTACTTTGTTTCTTGAATTTGTTTTGGAAGCTCATCCATCACCATATATATATACCATATATATATACACACACACATATATACATATATGTATATATACATATATATACATATATACACACACGTATATACATATATGTATATATACATATATATATAGTTATATACATGTGGTTTCTATATATGGTTATATATACATATGGGATATATATGTATACTTTATTCAAATTTCTATTCCCAAATAATCAGGGTTAGATAACAATTCATGAGCAAATGGAATGGCTTTATAACTGTTAAGTGCAATGGTATTCTATTGGATCTTACGTTTCTTGTCCTGGGTTTGGTACAAGTGTTTCTTTTTTGGCTTCCTCATCTTTTCTGTTTAATGATTATCTTTTCCCCTCTACTTTCTCAATTTGGGGTTTCTGCAAAAGCTTTATTCAAAGCTTGAATTGTTTTTCTCCACAGGCTTTCTCCCTAAGTTTTTCATTTCATACAACCTGAAATAATTTCAGGGTGGATGGTTCCAAATCTATGCCTAGGGTTCCAGTTGCATTTTCATTTGATCCTCTTTATATTTCCACAAGTGTACACGCTTGTACCTTCAGGTAAATTTAACTAAAATCAAATGCATCATTAATTGTTATCCACTGGGCATGCCATGGTCTACTATATCGCTGGTGGTTAAGATCTTAGTGCAGGCTCGGGAATTGAGCACTTAGTAACCTGGCATACTAACCGTGCTGTATTGTGTGGTAGGGTCATAGGTGTAATCTAGCCATCCTTTCAACTTACCAAAAAGTATATTTGAAGAGTCCATTATACGCCAGAGCTATAGAAAGAGCTAGACACACAACCATGAATAAGTATTGTTATTTTGCCCTGAAGAAGCTGGAAGGTCTAATAATGGGTGTAAGCAAGCAAAGAGGCATTTATGGTAGCTTGATTAAAGCTGTAATGTGAAAAGTAAATTAGACAACAGACTCAGAGTCAAGATAGCAGGTGGTAGGGTACCATCTCTCCTTCTTGAAGGAGGTGACACATAAGAAGTATAGGCTATAGCCAGAAAAATGGAGAAAATAACTTAACAGTTATAAAAAATAAGAAGAGAATTATTTTCAGCAGAGAGATGAGCATTTGCATGAGTTCTAAGAGCCAAAAGTATTCCTGAACAGGCACTGATCTTGACCAGAAATCAGTTAAAATAAGGTTATGGATGATATGGAAGAAATAAATCAGCTGATCTATTTTCTTTGTTAATTATGTTTGTTTTTTAAAAAATAGGTCTTATAAGCAAATTATATCATATTTCAAAGACACAAAAGGATAAATAGTTTAAAGTAACTGTCTCTTCCTCTCCTGTCCCAATCCTCCTTGGCCACAGTTACATTTAATAGTTTTTTCTGTATTTTCTGTATTATTCAAGAAATATCTTCTGTATTTACAAAAATATTGGGATATATTTTCCCACACAATTAGTAGCATGTTGCACATTGTGCTGATTTTTATAGCTCTTGTATTTCCTTCTTTTCCTAGTACAATTATATAACAAAAATCTGATTAATATTTCTCACATGACTAAATGTCTAAAAGATAAATCAGCTGTGATTTTAAATAAACAAAGCAACTAAAATATCAGCATGTGGTATAACTGTTTTTTTAATGTTTATTTATTTATTCTCAGAGAGAGAGAGAGAGGCAGAGAGACAGGGAGAGAGAGAACCCGCTGTCAGCGCAGAGCCTGACACGGGGCTTGAACTCATGAACTGTGAGATCGTGACCTGAGCTGAAATCAAGAGTTGGATGCTCAATCAACTGAGCCACCCAGGTGCCCCTAACCATTTTTAAGTTAAATTTTTGTGAAATAATTATCCTTAGTTTTTGTTCTGTATTTTTGTCCTTTGATTTCACATACTACATGTACTCTTGGCATTGCTTTTTATTGTAATAGGCATTTCTGAGTCCTCTCTTTTCATCACTCTCCAAATCCACTACTTCATCACCCTAGCACAAATGTGCTTTGTTCCATCAACAAATGCCTGCTTAATACATACTTACTATCATCTAGCAAAGCACTGAAGTACAAAAGAGACATGTTACCTGCCATTATATATATATGTTCTAGGGAGGAATTTTATCTCTATATACTTTTCTTGCAAACATACACAATCATAATACGTATATGCATAATATATTTTCTCTGATGTATATATTAAAAAATATAGACTGTCTGTGTCATTTATTATCTAGAGAAATTTACATCCTTAGCTGGGCATTTCAGCTTTGAAAACAGACCACCTAACTGTATTGAGGTACTCCTTTTAGACTGAATTTTCTTTCCAGTGTAATGTCTTGCTTTTCCCATTCCCTCGCCTAGGCTTCTCTTCAGTCGCATCAAACTATTCACTGTTGTCTCACCTTGTCACTGTTTTTAGGCCTTCAGTCTATATTTATGCTGTCTGAAATTAGCCTCTTCCCTTTCTCTGTCTGATGGAGATTTGTCCCTTTAACATTTTCTGACAAAGTATTGCTAAGTCACTCAACATTTCTGATTCTTTACTTTGAGAGTTGGAAGGAAAGTCATTGAATGTAACTTTTCTTACCTGAGAACAAGGCCAAGAACACGAAGGGGAGGAAGATGAAAGCGCTCATGTTAGAGTCACAGCTGTTTCAGACCTGGTTGTTGGACGGAATTAAGAGAAACTCTTCAGTAGATGCTTTCTGAATAAGCTGACCTGATCACTACCATGTTATATATTTGAAAAATCCCCCACCCTAGTTGCTAAACACTGTCATTTTGTTTTAAAAAAAAAAAATGATAGAGTAATTTTCACAAACTGGAAGGTGTTCCTTCTTGAGTGGATTGCCATTTGAAAAGTTAGCTTCACACCCCAACTCCCATAAATACCCCAATTTAATATGCATCTACCAATATCTGTCTTACAGAATAAAATTAAAATGGTGAAATCCAGCTGGGAAAGTGGTAAGCTCAGTGTTCAATTTTTTTTTTTTAATTGTTAAGGGATGACTTGTCTTCTGTCCGTACTGTTATTGACCTTGCAAGTTTCTATGTCCACAATAGAGATTCCCATGACGTTTTCCCACAAATAAGTTATGTGCCAATAATTTACCTCAAATTATATTTTGAAAGCAAGTAAAAAGGCATCAGGCACTGGTCATTAATAAGTGTTGAGTGCATCCAGTGGGGAATGATGAGGTGTAATGTGTTTTTATGAGGTCCCAAAAAACAATAGATCTTATGTTTGAGAATAACATCATGTTATTGACTTTCTTGCCTCAAGCTATTATGCCAAACAGAAGCTCCTGTGAGAATCACCTTGGGAGTTTTAGTCAGCGATAAACCCAGTATCGTGAAACAGCAGAATATTGTGTTCAAGGTTGGCTGCCTATATAAAAGAAGTTTGAATGAACTGAGGCCTGTCTAAAAGAAAATGACCCTGATAAAGTGGGGTCTAGAAAACACAGAGCAGAAGGTTGTGTTCTTCTGTAAGAGAATATAAGCTTGAGTGAAGACAGACTTAGGATGGATGTTGCCATTGGCTCATCATGTGAAGGGCATTAGGACGGGAGAGGATGATGTTATTTGGTCTGTGTAGTTCCATGTGGCAGATCTAGTTCCAAAATAAGGAAGTGCAGGATAAATATTTTTGAATTCTGAGGTGAAGTAGGTGCTTCTTAGAATTCCTTCTAATTCTAAGATCTTCAGATTTAGTGGTCCAGGATTGTGTTTGATTTCCATTTTAGTTTCTTCAGAAGGGCAATTTTGAAAATGATGAATGATTTCTTTTAATCAAGCTAGCAATTGTAAGGCATCAAAAAGGACAAATTTTAAGTTTCTCTATAGTAAAAAGGCAACTTTTTCCTCCCCCTCTATAATTGTACTTTGTACTGACTAGTGTTCATATGAATGTCAGAATAGGCTCAATGAATCACAAGGCCTGATTATGCACATATGTGTGTGTGTGTATCCCATATAATATACTCCATATTATATATATACATATACATTTAAAGCACAGATAACTTTTAACAAAAATTCATTATGAATTTTTCCAAAATATGGTAAGTTGAAAGAACTGTGCAGTGAAAACCCATATACACATCACCGAGACTCTTCAATGAACATTTTGCTACACTTGCTCTATCATATATTGACCAAAATGGGTGAATTTGACGCAAGGTATTTTCACATCCAGATACTCAGGTACAGAACTCAATGCAGTGAAATCCCAAGTATCAACAAATGGGCCACAAGAGCTGCATTTGCATTTTGCCTAAACAATTGCTTTGCACATCCTTAGCGCCATCATCCGTCCTACTCATGCTTTTCTCCAAGCTCCAGTGTCATCACACTTCTAAACAGCATACATAAATAACAAACATGATTGAGCGCCTTGTGTGTGAGGATACGGCGGTGGGAAGATGAAGTCTCATGAAGCCTCTGCTCTGAGGTTTCAGAGACTGTCTCATGAATTAGTAGAAGGTATTGCTGGTCACATAAGTAAGGCAGCGTTTTCTCTACATCTCTGTTATCCAAACCAGGCCAAAGGGCATTTTACTTTTAATCCTCTAATTTTATTAAATGGAACATTTAATTTATCCTTGGATGATGGGGATTCTTCCACCTTTAGAATTGTCTTCCATTATTATTTTCCTTTACATTTGGGAGTCACAGCAGCATTCTGTGTTGGAGTAGGCTCAGAAAATGCTCGGCACTGCCACTTGCTGGGGAAGGGGAGGGGGGCATCCCACATGTCTTAGAGTGCGATTCTACATCAAGGCTACTCTTTTAGTGGTCGTCATATTTGGGTGGAAATAACAACAGTGTTAGGGTCAGATGACATAAAGGGTCTGTCACTCCTCATTTTAGCTGTATAATCTTAAGCAAGTTAATCTCTGTCTCTCCGTCGGCTTCTTTCCTTATCTCCCTTTCCTCTTATTTCTAAAATCATGATGATAATACCCTACTGAAAGAATCAAATTTTGCTAAGGATTTTGTTGCAGTTTGGAAGACAAAGTTTATCCCTGCAGTTTAGTGATCTTGGTTTCTGATTGTGAGCTGTCTAACAGCATCCTGTGTCCAAGTACCTGATTTAGACTCAATAAGCCATTCATCATGCAGCTAAAGGGAAGGAAACTTTGAGCCCCTTCTTAGCTTTCTTCCACCAAATACTTTAGCCACTGTTTCTTTTCAATTCTTCCTGGGGGGGAAATAGCACATGTCAAGTTTTGTTCTTTGAACTCCAGGTGTGTAAAGATTGAGCACAGTTCAAGATGGAAGGCATCAGCTACATAGAACTCATTAGGATTTTCAGACATAGATGCCAGTAGGTTGAACTGAATCAGGAAAACAAATGGAATATTTGGTCTGGTTTTTGAAATGTAATTCAAATTACATGGAAGACATAATGCCTCTTAAATTCAGTTTTATATTGCCAAAACTGTCTGAGGGAGACTTGCCAGTTGCTTACCAAATCTCATAAAATACTTCACAATATTAAGAAAGAGGCCAACTTTCAAGTACTAGGCAATTACTATTTCACTTAAGGCCCTTTTGCTATTTCTCAGTTGACTTATTAATTGATTGTTTTACCCAATCATCACCCACGCAGAGGCATTAGTTTCAGAACACGGAGTCCTGCAGGGTGGCAGATGCTTGAGATAGAATCTTGGGTAACTTCTCTGCTTTGGATGTTAGTTTCTTCACTCAGCACACAAAGTATTGATGCAAACCGAATATATTTAATTTCATCATTATTTATTGAGATGATGCATCTGTCTGACACACACACTAAAATGTTCCATTAATGTTGACTCTGTTATTACACCCATGTGAGCATTTGAGATTAGAGACATGACCTCTTCCACCTTCATTTTAGTTGAATGCAGTGAACTAAATATTGTTTATATGTTTATATATAACAATATTATTGTTATATGTTTTGACACTGAATATTATTGTCTGGTAACCATAATAATAAAATGCAAAATAGAGCAAAATTATAAAAGTCATGGACTAAGTGGGTTATAAATGGCATTTATTGACTTATTACTGAGATTTTTCATGATGTGGAAAATTTTGGTGTATAAGTTTACAAACTGTAGGGATAATATTTGAAATATAATGTCTTTCTCACTCCCAAATTAACCTCTTTGTCACCATTGCTATAAATAACTACAGTGGCTTTTTCAAAAACCTTATCTTCATACTTAAAAGAACACAAGTTACAGTTTGGTCCCTTGTTGATCATTACATTTGTTACTTTTAGCCATTCAGGTCCAGGTTTTCTGTAACTCTTTTCTCAAACATCACTTTTAGTCACCACTCATATAATGTCCACACATAATTCACCTTACAATTATTTTTTTAAAAGAAGGATGAGCACTGGGTGTTATATGGAAACCAACTTGACAATAAAACTATGAAAGAAAAAAAAAAGAAGGAACATATTTGTAGAATATTGTTTATAAAGATTGCCACCAATAAATCCTCACATCTCTTTCCATACAAGTTACTTCTCTCTTGTAGAAAAGTCTGTGTCCCTCCTCTTGAATCTGAGCTGGTCATGTAACTTTCACTGACCAGGAGAATGCAATGGATGTGACAGCATACCACTTTTAGAACTAAGCCTTAGAGCCTGACCGGGCTGGATGAGAGACTATGAAGGGAGAGAGAGACAAAGAAAGGTGGAGACAGAGACAGAAACAGGAAGGAACCTCTCTAGTCCCAGTGAAACATCAGAAATGTGACAGAAGTCATTCTGGATCCCAACAGAGCCATCCAGCAAAAGCCAAATGGAACAGAGGCAGATCATTTCTGCTGAGCCTGCATTAAGTGGCAGACTTGAAGGCAAATGAATGACTGGTTTGTTTTAAGCCATTAAGTGCTCAGTAATTTGCTATGCAGCAATAGATAATCGTTATCACGGACAAGACTACGATTATGTTTTGACACTGAATCAAGACCCCACGATAACTATAAAGATACCATTTATTGAGGCACTTTGTATGCATGATCTCATTTAATACTTAAAACTATACTTTTCTAACATCCTAAATATGTGATGAGGAAACCCAAGCACTGGGTCATTAAATAACTTTTCACACAGTTAACTCTAGTCAAGATATTTGAACATATCTGCTTAAGGAGTTCCATTCCTGGCTATCCAGAAGCATGGGAATGCTCTTTCCAGAAATAGAGACTTGGAAAAATAAATGTTTGGGTTAAAGATCAGACTGTGAGTCAGTCCCTCAGTTGGCAATCAATCCATCTTTGGCAGTACAGAACTAAGATTTCAAATTCAGAGCTGGAAAGAGATCTCGGCCCAGCCATATGGAGATTTCTAAGTCTTCTCTAGTACACCCTGGGTCATACATCACATATCAGTGCTCGATCAACAACCTACACTTCTGATACCAACAGCAATTCTTTGCTCAGGAGAGATATAGGGAAATCCACCATATCCCCATTTTGATTTTGAGATTGGTTGCTCCATTAGTTGGTGGGACAACATTTTATGTATATGTGTATACTTCCTGAAGGGCAGGTTTGTGGATCCCATTGTACTTTAGGAATATCTTTTAAAAAAAGAATAATTTAATATAGCCATAACCAAACCAAAAAATTTAAT